GTTGGGGGGTTTTTTTCATTCAAATTATAAGGTTTATATTCACTCTCTGTGACAGCAGTGATCTAGAAGCAATTGTTTCATGTTCTTTTTCTGATTCTGCGGTTAAACCGTGTCATCAGCATAACGAATGCTATTACAGTGGGGCCCATGTGTGACAGTCATGGTTGTAACAAGATCTTGCCCGTAGCAGGCCTGCATGAATAAAATTATTTAATCTTTTCTTTTTTTTTTCTTTGATAAGTCTTTTACAGCGCTCGCAACTGCATAAGGTCATAATAATAATAATATTGAGCTCGCGGGACACATTAAACATTTTCATGTTGGTAGGAATTATTTATTTTATTTTGCCCAGCTGATGGCCAAAGCCGTCTCTTATCGATGTTATACCATCAAGGGATCTATAACGTGCGCAACATGTACATGGGACCGCTGATATTATTCCCCTTTTCCGAGAAGGCTAGGTGTTAGATCTTACCTACCATAAGATCAGCGGTGTTACTGAAAGACAGCAGGAAGAGGAAGACAAGGAGTAGCAGTACAAAGGCTGCAGAAAGAGTCGGAAGCCCAGAGGAGGGGGCAAAGGGAGGGGGGGGGAGAAAGTGGAGACGAAAGCAGACGACAGTACTTGGGTAAAGAGCAGGAAAAGGGATGAAAGGAAAACATTTTTAGAAGAGAACATTTTCTGTCGCTTTCAGGTTTCGAACCTGGGACATATTGAATGAGAGTCAAACACCGTAACCTCTAAACCACCGATCTCTTATAATGTACGTATAGTCAAAAAGAAAGAAAAAAAAGTTCTTGCATTGCAAGTATTGGGGCAGACATGCTAGACTGTAAAGTGAAAATGCTCTTGAAAATAAACTGTCAAGACAGCAGAAATACAATTTTAAAAATGTGAGGCAGCGTGGTGGAATCAGGCTCTCGTCAATTTTTGGGCTTGTAGAGTTATTGATATAATCTTAAAAGCTTGTTCACTCGCCTTTATTTGGATGAAAAAAATATCCATTTATCTTGAATATAAGTGGATATATTTGCTAGTGGAGGAGATGGGGGTCACCTGTTTTCAGAGGTAAAATTAGTGAGAAAATGGCCGCCAAAGATTAGTTATTTCCTTATCTCAAGAGTCCGTGGTAACTGAAAATTTACATTTTTGTGTGCCTTAAATCGACGTTTTTCAGAAAAATCCACACAGAAATGATTTCTTTCTTTAATGGGCATGAAAGGTGTTGAGCCAAAGAACAAAAATGTTATAAAAATTCACAAACCTGAGGAAGAATGCATGTTTCTTCACTTTGATTAATTTGACGAGAGCCTGATTCCACCACGCTGCCTCACAAATAAGCAAAAAGGAGAAACACGAGATCAAAACACGGCGAATTGGAGTAGCATGACCCATTTTAGTAGGCCTTAGAAGTTGATTGTGTACACATAAAAAGATGTGACTTTGCGTTCTGGGGAGGGAGAGGGACGGGGTGTGGG